AGGACCCTGGGTTCCGGGAGCCAACCTGCAGAACAATGTGCAGAATTGGTGACTGTGGACCATTGTGGTTATTCTCTTAACGTGCACACTGCAACTATCTCCATTTTTGTTGTGGTGTTTTTTCCTTATACAGGAACAGTTAACAAAAGTAACGTGGTGACAGCGAGTACCTCCATCCAGCTCCTGGATGAACGGAAATCTCCTGTGGTGGCAGGTAAATGATGGGTTTCAACCAGTGAATGTAAAGTAAGCATGGTGTCCATTCATCTGGCTGGTCAGCTACTCCAGTGGAGCATGTTCATTCTCCAAAAAGTAGGTTTCGAAGGGATTAAAAAAAAAAATTTAAAAGTACTTTCTCCTCAGCGTGGTGTCATCTCCTCCACACCAAGGCTCTGACAACTGGTGGTGTTTGATATAAAAACAGAAATCATTCCCAGGGTTTCTATTCTTAAACTGTGATCCAGTGAGAAATTGTTGGTTCTGCAGTAGAAGCATGCTCATTTAAAGTAAACTGCAGATCTCCAACTCCTATATCATTAGGGTGACAGAGCACATACAAGGAAGGTTTAGTTTTAGGCAAACACAAAACAAAATGTGCCCTTCTCCAGAGGGATTGAAATTTTCATCACCCTAATCCCCGTGAGGAATTAGTGTCTGCAGGTGCTGGGTTTGGGACCAGGGAAAAGCCAGAACATTTTACAACTGAGAGCCTTGAAATGTAAAACAAGCCCTGTCTCTAGCTTTTCCCATTTCTCTCAAGAATATTAGTAGGTGTCTGTGGCTGGCAGGGGCCTGTCACTGGTGGTATTTGGTCAAAAGGGCTGGAAACTGCCACAAGCCCACATTTGAGGACAGTTGCTCACAACAACAGGGCCTAAGAGTGTGTCTGGCACACAGTCGATTTCTGATACATAATTGTTGGCCCGTTGGTTGATGGATGAGTGACATGCCAGGCACCATCTGGATGTTGGCCAGGTTTCCCAAAGGGAGTCATTTTGTTTCCAAGCAGCCTCCTCTGTGAGTTGTGCATTAGGGTCACTTTGAACATCAACTTCCGTGTCCTTGCGTACTGTGAATGTTTGCAGGAGGGAAGGCAAGTGGAGCAGATGGTGCAGACCTGTTTGAAGGGTGTGTTCTCTAGGTAGGAAATACTGTTTTCCCCCCACTTTACTTCTGACTTAACCTATGCATCATAATTATATTACTAAAAATTGAAGAATTTGGGGACAGTTGCCTTGTTTATTCCTGGGTTATTGGACATAGCATGGAAGACAGTTTTATGCATGGGATCTGCATCTCATCTTGAATGAGGCAGATCTATAATTAATCAGCCAAGAGATATGGGCTCTGAGGATTCGCAGTTGCTGTCTTCAAATTTTGTGACTTAATGTCTCATGTTCCTTGAGGAAAGTGAGAGACAGGATCATTTAACTTAGCAAGATTTATTTTTGCTCAAGGGAGGTCAGACTTGCCCTCCTCCAGGCGGGCCCCACCAGCTAATTCTGGAGACATGTTACCTCCCCTGAGGGCTGGGGCCACGTGTAGCAGCTGTCAAAAATGAGGCAGATCTATAATTAATCAGCCAAGAGATATGGGCTCTGAGGATTCGCAGTTGCTGTCTTCAAATTTTGTGACTTAATGTCTCATGTTCCTTGAGGAAAGTGAGAGACAGGATCATTTAACTTAGCAAGATTTATTTTTGCTCAAGGGAGGTCAGACTTGCCCTCCTCCAGGCGGGCCCCACCAGCTAATTCTGGAGACATGTTACCTCCCCTGAGGGCTGGGGCCACGTGTAGCAGCTGTCAAAGACATGGGCTGGCCAGAGCTACTGTCTGCTCAATTTTTTTTTTTTTTTTTTTACCTTTTTTAAACCCTTTCCCTGGGTTTCTAATTCAGTCATCACAAAGGATGCTCTGGACCAGCTCTGAGGTCACTGTGCCTATCCCAGCCACCCTGTCCAAGTTTATAAACTACACTCACATGTTTCCAAATGGCCTTATATTTCATAAATGCCTATTTGGCTGAGTATGGTGACATCTGAACTCAGCCTGAGCACTGTGTATCCAGTCTAGAGAAGAACGTGCATTTTCTATATGATTTGCTGGTCTGTTGTTGAGTTACATAGGTGGCCAGAGACCACAGGCAGGTCACCAGACATGGTTTGGTCCACACTGTGGGTAGGGGAGGCGTCCCCCTGTTCACTGCTTCACAGTGTATAAATGGCCCCCACTTTTAGAAGATGATTACAGAGCAAGACCAAGAAGCAAGGTCATCTGAGAAATTGTATTTAGTTCTTACCTTTTAAAACTGGGGACTATTAACCTTCATTTGCAAACTGTGTTTGGTAGATATGAGATAAGACAAAATTGCATGGTAGTGATCATGAAAGCTACTGTGGTCGCAGCTCCATGAAGGCAGTGACCTCAAGAGGACCTTTCTGTCTCCACAAGCAGCGGGGCCCCTCGAGCACATGCCCCAGGCCTCATGGCCACTGACTCACCACCATGTCCCCGTGCAACTTTCCTCTGTATGTTTTCCTCAAACTGAGTAGACATTGTTTACCGCTCTGAAATTAAAAAGGCCATTTTAATTGGGGAAGAAGGCTTGTTTTGGCAGATGAAGATGAATATGTGGGCAGGCTTGTCCCCATCAGATTGCCTTCAACAGCAGATGGGAAGCAGCCGACGGGCAGTGATTTGGGGTTTCAATGAAATCCTTGTGTTAAATGGAAACTTATCTGAAAGAAAAGGTATATGACTTTCAAATGATGGTCAAGAACTCCTTTGAAAGGCCTGCCCCACTCCCAGGCCCGATCTGGGATGTTCATATTTATTAGCTGTATGTGTCTGTTTGGGGTAGAAAGAGGTTTTTGTTTTGTTTTGTTTTTATTTTTGGTGGGTTTTTTTTGTTTTATTCTTTCTTTCTTTCTTTCTTTCTGTATGTGTCTGTTTGGGGTAGAAAGAGGTTTTTGTTTTGTTTTGTTTTTATTTTTGGTGGGGTTTTTTTGTTTTATTCTTTCTTTCTTTCTTTCTTTTTTTTTTTTTTTCCTTTGTTGTTTTCTTTTTTAAACAAAACATTTAGATACTCATCTGTCAATGACACCTTTGAAGAAAGGCCAGTCAAACTGGGCAGGATTCCATTTGCTCGTCAGCCTTGGTGCATAAACAGGCCCCATCCATCTTCTTGGCCTATGACATTGCTTACAGTCATTCTCTTGAGAAGCCTGCCAACTCTCCAGCTGCCACCAGTGTGCTGCATTTTCTTACTTGCTCTCCCACTGCAAAGGGAGAAGTGGTAGGACTTTCCCTTTGGCCTCCCAAGTCTCTCCAGAGCCCTGGAACCTTCTGCATGTTTCAGGCCTCTAATCCATTTTTCTGTTGTTATTGGAAACACAAACCTTAGACTGTAAGGTCCACGTATGTTTGTCACTCACTCTGTCACTTGCTAAATGTGTGGTCTTGGGTCTCTCAAAGTCTATCTAAAATAGGGTTGGGATTATTACCTCCCTTTCCTTGCTGTGTGTTGATTTGGGGATAAAATGAGAAAACAAACAAGAAAATACCTGGATGCAAAGTATAAAAATGCTGGGATTTAGGGGTAACCCAGTTTTATCTTCAAGTTGGCAGCATATTCATTCATTTGTTCATTCAATAACTATTTCCTGAGCTCCTGCTTTTTCCAGGCACTCTAGCTATAAATGAATAATAACCAGGCTCTGCAATTGACATCCCTCCCTCCCTCCACAGGCCTCTGAAATAGCAGCTATTTTTAAAGCCATGTCTACATAAGGAAGGTGAATTGAGAAGTTGAGCAATTATCTGGAAACTCCTAGAGGTCAAGGACTTTGTTCTTTTCATCTTCACAGCATAGCCCAGTGGAGTACCTGGAGCACAGCGCAGGTGTGACCCTCAATGAGAATATTGTATATTGAATTGTACCTGCTTTGCCATAACTTCCTTATTGTTGACTTGAGTTCCATAAATTCCTAGATCATAGCAATAATTCTCCTACCCACTCTCAATGGAGAAACTCAACCCTTTAGACTAATGGTCATAGGCAGTGCTTCCACCATGCTAGAGAAGACCTGGGGAGAAGAAGAAATAAATGTACAGGGAGGAAGAACTGAGCCACAGTGATAAAGTGTGACTCTGCAGGGGACTTCTTCCCCTCTGTGAAGTTTTTTGTCTGACCTCCCTATTCGCCTTCTAGACCCTCCCTCTGACAAATACAAGATACCTAATATTAGTTTTTGTTAAGAAGCTCAGACTTCTGAATTTTTTAAATAATGAATTCTGAATTATTTGCATTTGCTTTAAATTGCCCGTTTTAACATATCAAAATCTAAATCACTGCTAAGTGTTACGTTTCGATTTCTTAAATAATTGAAGACTCTCCAAGGGCAAGAACTGTCCCAGTTATCTTTTTATTCCCACTGCCAAGTACAAGAGCTAACACATGGTAAATATGTGAGAAATATTGGCTGAATAAGTGATTCAGGGAAAATGGGGTCCTTTTTTACCTGCTATACGAAGGTACATAAGCATCCAAAATTTACTCACCAGACAATGGAAACATTGGTTTCTTATAAAAACAGCTCTTTTTAAGACAGCTTTATTCAGGTATGATTTATATACCAAAAAATTCACCTATTTTAGTTGTAAAACAACTATTTTTAGTAAATTTGGGGGTCTCTGATCTGCTAGCCTGTTCCTTTGCAAGGAACACAGACTACATTAGAGAAATGTGAAAATGTGGGTTGTATGATCTCATTTGCATAACTCAAGGCAGTGTGATGAAGGGAAATGTTCCATTTTAAACAGCTAATTAGGAAAGTGATTAACAGCACTGACCATTAGCTACTGGTCAGGTATGTGCTATTTAAACTGAGTGTGGTATTTAGTATGGACCCTTCATTAGAGTGGTGTGAATAATGGTGGCAAAATGCTATAGGCAAACATTCAACTTGACAATATTCCTTTGGCGAGGCATCACATATTTGGTATGTGTGAGTTAACTTGTATGTCAGGAATTACGTGTGAAGTCTGCATGGATACATCTCTAGTTGGTTAAATCTGAGCAAGGGAAATGTTTTATCTTGGCAAAAAATTAATACTTATTGATTAAACCAGGAGTTTCCAACCGGGGGCAATTTTGACCCCAAGTGGACATTTGACAGCATCTATAAATATTTTTGTTTGTTACCACTGGACAGTA